AGGCAAAAGATTAAACCTCTCCTCTTTGTCTAGAGAAGAAATCTCAGGGGGAAAAAATCCCAGTTGTTTTGAAAAGCAAAATAGTCTTAGCCGCTAACTGTAACTTAGTTTAATAATCTAGCATCTATTTGACACTCAGATTAATATTAATTACACAGAAATAGAGGTGGGTGTATCAGAGGCAAAGATATATTTTCCAAGAGTCACCAATTGTACAAGGTAGGTCAAATCAATTATGTTTTGCCTGGTGTTTGAGGATCTCTGTAAAATAAAGACATAGTACATAGAAATGGCCTGTATACAGAGGTCTTAGATCAAAGGTCTTGCACTTAAATGTAACCACACAACAAGCAGTGGACAATTGTTTTGCCAGCAGGTTTGCTTGTTTCTAGTGAGGGTGACAGATGATTATGACCTATTCAAAGGGAATAACATAGTTCTGCTTTGTACTGGAGGGAAAACATACAGATCATGTTTCTAGTTAGCAGCGCTGACAGCTTTTCTCTTGATGTTCCTTAACAAAATGTGCACCGCTGTAAGAAATACACACTGGCCCACATCATATTTAATACGTTTCACTGTTGAAGTGTTTCATCTCCCGGAATACATTACCAAGATTAATAAAATGAAGAGTTAATCAGTCCACATACCGTTACACATGTAGGGCATGCACTCTTATTACATTATTGTCATTTTAGTAAATTCGCCCTATCTGATGATTTATATATACTTTATGATCTATGTATACTTTCACACAGCTAGTGCTTTTCAAAGAAGCTTCGGTATAGCCCAGATTATGATTACGTTTGACCATAAGCGCAGGATTTAGAGATATCAGTTCTGTGTGACTTTGAAAATGACATTTTAACAGATTATACCTAGTAAGCAAGCCCTTTTGCTTCATAGTATTTTCCTATCTATATTGTCTGATGCTGAACTCAAAATTATGGAGTAGTCTAAGCTTATTCCTGCTTCTGCATCCATAGAACTGACACCGTCGCGTTGGAAGGTTAAGTGAAGGCTACCTCTTTATACACATCAGTTTGATTCCGAGATTCCTTGGCAATCATCATATATTTGAAGGCTACAGAGAAAAATCAAATTGCAGTCTTCCTGTCCACCCTCCAAGTGCAATTATTTCACAATTCTCTTACCCTCCACATTTGACTCTAATGTTGGAAACAATGTCTTGTTCTCACCAATATTTGACAAGATACTATTTAAATCAGTGGTTCTCAACCTTTTTAATGCCGCGACCCCCAACCGGTCGTATGTCGAGGACTAAACCGGTCGTAAGTCGAGGACTAAACCGGTTATAAGTCGAGGACTTTCCCTGCCCGGGAGCGCCGTGCATGTGTGGTTCCGCCCCCACTTTTGACAGTGTGAACGCAGTATTGTTTCCACAAGGACCAATTATTGAGAAACAGAAGATCTGTTCACGCAAGACTATTTTTAGCACAGAAACAGATTTTTTTAAAAAACACCAAATCTTATGATTTTCATCTTTAAGTGGATTTTAGATAAACGTTAACTGTATGTTAAAGATACATTATTAAAGAGGCAGCAAACAATTTGATTGCCTGGCAATGGACTCTTAGGATGGAGTAAAGAACTTTGCATTGTCCAGGCAAAAGCTGTGAAGAAATATGAAAAACAACACCTGTCAGCAGCACCAAGAGACCTGGTTTCACACTGTAATAAAGCTGATGGAAGTCTGTATGGGTATTACCATGGCTATTGCTAAGGTATCAGTAAATAGACCAGGTGTCAAACTCGCAACATCATGTGATGTGTTGCGACGTATTGCGGTTTTGCCATGATGCACCCGGCCCGTGGGCTGGCAGTTTGACACCCCTGAAATAGACCAATGGGAGTTGGGGACATAGGGAGATAGAAGGGTAGCCGAATATTAGTTGCTAGATGTCTGTCTTATATACAGGTAATCCTTCACTTACAACTACAATTGAGTCCAAAATTTCTGTTGTCAAGCGAGAGTGGTTGAGTGAGTTTTGCCCCATTTTTTGACCTTTCGCGTCACGGTTTTTAAGTGAATCACTGTGGTTGTTAAGTTAGTACCATGGGTGTTAAGTGAATCTGGCTTCCCCATTGACTGTTTGTCAGAAGATCACAAAAGGAGATCACATGGCCCTGGGACACTGCAACTGTCATGAGTCAGTTCGCAAGCTTTTGAATTTTGATCACATAGTCAGAAGTGTGAAAAAATCACTTTTTTCAGTGCTGTTGTAACTTCAGTCACTAAATGAACTGTTGCTAAGTCGAGGAGTACCTGTACTACTTGTGGGCCTTGCATTAAGCATCCCCTGGTTTCTCTGGGAAAGATACTAGTTTATATGACCCTTTAGTCTGATCCAAAAGGAATCTTATATCCTTTATTAGAAAAATTAGTGCCAAAATACACATAAATGCAGCACCAACCTTTGTTATTATACATGTAGCGCTACCTCCTCAGAGGCCACCAATGCCCAGGCCCTCCCAGCCACGTCCCCCCTTGTCCAGCCTTGCGGTAATGTTCTTTAGAGATCGATGAGGTGTCTTACAACTGGAACTCACGCAGCATTAATGGGTGGCAGGCTCTTCCTGTTGAAGCAGGACTTTCGGGCANAGGATTCAAAACCACCCCCCTCCCTTACTCTTTATTATTAAAATCCGAGGCTAGAAACCCCAGCCAACTCCCTTACTTCACACTCTCGCTTGCCTCCGTTTCAGATATCCTCCCACGGAGGAAGCAATAAAACTTCACTCTATCTAGCCTCTATTTAAAATACCCTTGATAGAAAAATAAAATAAGCTTCCAGACCTTCCCTTCTCAACTCCAACCACCCCGGCCTTCTCCTTTTCTTCCCTTTTCTATCCTTCCTCCTTCCACTCACGCCAACCACACCCAAAGCCAACTGCAGCTGTCCCAATCTTTCCCTTCCCAGTCAAGCTCCTGCAAGCACTCTCAGGCAGTCCCCGCTACATACAGTATACACATACCCCAACACACACAACCAATTTACACTTGATAATGTTTATTTGGGATTTAAGTTATTAGAGAACTTCCGATTCAAGTCATAATAGCTACTGAGTGAAGTACTTCACGTGATCGCTCACTTTGTTTCATACCAGAGGCTTTTCATTTTAATTATTATGTTAAAACATTGGAGTGAAAATGGAAATATATTTCAGTTTAGTAAAACTATCTGGAAGTTTAGTCATTCAAAAGAAAAATGATAAACTATACTTAATCTAAATATTATTGTTTGAGACACTCAACATCTGATTAAGAATATCTAATGGGCACAGAAATGGTACCAACAAAAGAGAGCTATAATTCCCTTTAAGCTGCACCGGGCAGTAGGCATCACGTGCAGAACTATTGACTATCCTTTAGCTATAATTCCCTTTAAGCTGCACCGGGCAGTAGGCATCACGTGCAGAACTATTGACTATCCTTTGGCATTTTTAGCAACTATTATGCAGCAACTAGAAATGTTCTCTGCTACGTGGGCCAAAGCTAGATTTGAACAGATGTCTGAAACGCCTGAGGGGAAAAATATTTATAAAGCATTTCTACATTCATAGACTAGTTGAAGGTTCAATAAGCTTCAATAAAAATAAAACTTTTTATATATAATCCAGCAGTAATAGTTAAAACATTTCCATTCACTATACACAGAATAAAACCATTTATTCTTTGGAAAGATAGTAACTCCTAGTAAAAGTACTTGGTATGAAAACACAAGAAATATAAAGTGTTTTTTTAAAGATCAATATTCATTTTTATCAAGGAAAGGGGTTCTTCTTCTAAAAAGTGTGTATGATTATTTCTCAAAACAACTGCAATAAGGGTAATATAATTTCCTTCCAATTAATAAAATATTGTATGACAAAGAATTAGGCTTAGAGTTATGAGAGTTTGTTATAGAGAATGAAATTAATTGAAGTGGCAAACAAAAGATTCCTTAGCCTTAAGGTCATATTTTTTTTAAAAAACAACAACATTAAACTTAATATTTGACAAGGTATGTAAGAAACTGTGCTGATTAAAGCCAAATATTCCACTATGACACATAAGCTTACAATTTTTATTTTCAGTCGTTAAACTGAATGTTATACAGCCATAGTTTTAAAAACGATTGCTATGGCAATCACCATGGTTTCAATATTCCAAGTATAACCTTATGGCTTATCCCTTGAGATCTCAACCTGGGAAACATGGTCCCTATTCATATCATGGGACAGTACGAGGGATGATATATATAATTAAACATATGACAAAAAGTATTCTTTTTTTTAAAAAAAATGCTGGCCATATAAAGATGTCAAGTGAATTTTCAATGTAAGTCAATAAAATATTAAGATTTCTTTTCAGCTGCAGAAACCAAAGATGTAGCAAGGTTTTTGTTAGATAGCTTAAATATTGTTTAGTTAAAAAAAAAAGATTTGTCATTAACTATGCAGAAGCCACATTCACCAAACTATTATGCTAGTGCAGCAATTAACAAACAGAATTATTAGACTGTCATATGGTTAAAATGTAGGGAAATTTCCTGTAAAGGAAAAAAAATTAACACCTTTACTGCAACACATTGGACCAATAAAGTAGTAACAAATGGACCCAGAGATCAAACAGAAAGTAAGTAAATGCTATTTCTATATTTACTAATCATGTTTTTTTAAAAAAAAAAAAAAAAAGGCAGGGAATTTGTAATACTTCTCTTTAGCTATCCCATTTTCTAAAGAGAAATTCTAATTATTTTCTTAAAAAATGAAAAATACTGTTTTGAATGTATAGCCATTAAAATATGCAATATCTCAAAGCATATTTCCCATGAAAGATTTCTACAGCTCAGTATTTATAGGTTTTATCACAGGCAAAATTAATCGAGGGAGGGAGGGAGAAAGGGAGGGAGGGAGGGAGGGAGGGAGGAAGGAAGGAAGGAAGAAAGGAAGGATTACTTTGGCCATAATGGAAAAAAATATTTTTAATTCTACATATCAGTATCCAAAAAAGAAATAAAGAGGGGTATTTATAACCCAACTTCTCAGAGTACATTCATTAAAATAACCCATCTACTCTCTCAAATTTTCTTTTTAAGCAGAACAGAGACAATAAGAGACCTCAAAACCCCAACTCCAACCCCATTCTTCTTCACAGCCAAGCAACTTTGAATGCATGCACATAAACACAAATGAATGAAAAAGTTCTTATCTCTGAAGATCACAGGTGTAATTGAATTCAATAAATAAGTCTCTATTTGGAAATTCTACAGGAAAAAAAAAACCAAAAACCATTCACAGTTTAGTCTGTCTTTTTTTCCAATATAGTTTTCTGTTCTTGCTCTCTCTCTGGAAATTCTACAGGACTTTCACTGCTTTCCTCCTCTGGTTCCTCTTCGGTGCCTTCATCAGTGACATCCCTGCTTGGGGTGTCCTTCTTAGAGGCCTCACTTTCATCTGATCCACCCGAGTCAGCAGTGCAAATCCCGTAACACATGATGCTGATGACACCCAGTGGCAGACCAAACAGGAAGCAACCAAGAAGTGGCGAACTCTTGAAAACGGACTGTAGGGAAATAATTGGCCATCGGTTATATTTTCATAACATATTGAATGACTCGGAGAAGATGATTCCCACCACTTCCCCACCATTATATATTAACATATTTTAAGAAGAATCAAGGTATGAAGAATGTCATTTGAGTATCTAACTAACAGAAACTTTAATGAAAGAAGTGGGAAGACTGTTGGGGCAGTTATTTCTTTACTAGTATGTTTACACCCGTTTTCTTCCTGCCTCATGACTCACCCTCAGAACTAGCAACATGGCCAGAAATAATCCCCAGGAGCTCAAGGGATATGCACACACAAATGTTCTAAGAAAGGTTTCAGAGAAAGCCTGGGTGTTACTTCCCATTTTTTCCTTGTTTATACTTGGCCTCATCTACCTTCGGAACTCTATGTAAAAAGTATAACATTTCAAATAGATCCATTTAATTTTTGTTACAGGAATTTGCAGGAATGGCTTTTAAGACACATGCGTGCAAATGTTACTCTTTTGCACTTAAAATTGTCAGAATTTATTCCATAGCTGCAGGATGGCCTAGACCAGGGGTAGGCAACCTTGGCTCTTTTATGACTCGTGGACTTCAACTCCCAGAATTCCTGAGCCAGCATGACTGGCTCAGGAATTCTGGGAGTTGAAGTCCACGAGTCATAAAAGAGCCAAGGTTGCCTACCCCTGGCCTAGACTTAAGATTATTTAATAGTTTAAACCCTACAGAAGAACACAACATACATATGAACAACTGTGTTGAGGTCTACACAACACTGGTCCTATGTCAACTGGTGTTCATGGACATCAACTACCAACATGAATGTATTTATGCGCACTCAACTGAATCAGAAACAATTTGGTATAGCCATAAAAAATAAGCTCAAAGTGTATGCATATGTACAAGATAAGAAAGAAATGGAAAGAAAACTATACAATTTGAAAGAAAATAATATCCTTCCTTGTCCAATATAATATGTAGCAGCACAATTTCCAGCAGCACAACACCCAACTGAACACATTTTAAAAATAATAGAAATGTATATCACTCCGAGAAAGAAAACAAAATTGTAATAGTTAAATGTTATGTTCTTTGTGGGGAGAAACAGACAAAAAAAAAGACTGATTTGGAAAAAAGTGTCCACGTTCTACCTGTCAACTATTCATATGTACTATGACAGACTCAGATGCTATCCAATTACTACCAATGACACATTTTATATGTCAACAGGTTTATTTCAAAAACAAGGTGTATTGTAACCAAGACAAATCCAACAAACTTAATAATATGACCGAATAAAACCTTTCCGGATTCATTTCTGTGCTTAGCAAATGGTGCATCTACTTTAACTTGATGGCTATAAATATTTTCTAATACTTTACGTACTCCCACTGTAGACTTGGCATCGTAAATTATTCTCTTGATTCGTTGAAGAATTCCATCTCCACCATATGCCTGAAATTTAAAAGATAAAAGATTAAAGGAGATCAGCATTATTTATTTATATTTCAGTTTTCAATTACTTTATTTTACAATGTCATCTTACCAATACTTACTTACAAAAATATTATTTCACTGAAGAGAAATTACTTCATGTAGAGTTGTGGATTCTACCTTATTCCTGCAGGGCAATACAGATGGACTCAATGCAGACTCTTACAAGGGTATGATTATACTTAACAGAATAACAGAGTTGGAAGGGACCTTGGAGGTCTTCTAGTCCAACCCCTTGCTCAAACAGGAGATGCTATGCCACTTCAGGCAAGTGATTGTCCAATTTCTTCTTAAAACCTCCAGTGATGGAGAACCCACAATTTCTGAAGGCAAACTGTTCCACTGATTAAATGTTTTAATTGTCAGAAAATTTCTAATTTCTAGATTGGTTCTCTCGATTAGCTTCTTGTCCTGCCTTGAGATGCTTTGGAGAATAGGTTGACCCCCTTTTCTTTGTGGCAGCCCCTTTGATATTAGCTGTAATGGTTTACTCAACAGAAAGCTGGTGTCTTCTCTTCACCACAATTTGCTTCTATTATTGAAGTTCAAGCAAAGCTATGGGACTATAGGGGATCAAAAGTGAGAAAGGGCTGAACATTATTCTTTTAGGGCTAAGGGCACACTTCATGCCCACAATCCAGTAAAGAAAAGCGTACATTAGTTCTGATACATATAATCCTTGACTTATTATCACAATTGGGACTGGAAAATGCATTGTTAAGTGGTGTAGTTGTTAAAGAGAGGCATCACATGACCGCACCGAGTTTTATGACCTTTTTGGTCCCAGTTGTTAAATGAATTGCCACAGTCATTAAGTGAGACATCACGTGACTGCAATTTGTAGCCTTCCCTGCTGGCTTTGCTTATGGGAAGCCGGCTGGGAAAGTTGCAAATGGTGATCATGTGACCCTGAGAGGCTTCAACCGTCGTAAATGTGCAAAAATTGCCAAGCACCAGAAGCACAATCATGTGGCTCTGGGCACAGTCATTAGTGCAAGACTGGTCTTAAGTCACTTTTTTAGTGCTGTCATAACTTCAAATGGTCACTAAGTGAACAGTCGTAAATTGAGGACTACCTGTAGTTTCCACAAGCTCAAGCCTATGGAACCTCATTAGAGGTTTTTAAGAAAAGCCTGGATGGTCATCTATTTGAAATGGTATAGGGTCTCCTGCCAGAGCAGGGGGTTGGACTAGAAGACCTCCAAGGTCCCTTCCAGCTCTATTCTGATTGATTGACCTAGCCAGATTAACTCCACAGTAGATTTCATTCATTCCATGTATAAATAACAAGTTCTAGATCATTTATAATATTTATGAAGTCAATTGTAATGATCAACAAGCCATTTATTTCAAGTGTTTGGACGGCCACATATAAACTACGGATTAGTCCTGTGGAATAATCCATCATAAAATAAAGAAAAGAAAAGAATGTAGTTTTTTTCCCTTCTACTCTTAAAAAGTGGTGCTGGTTGCTGATATGGTGGAACAGGAAGGCAGAAGGTATCTCTGCAGCAGGAGGAGAGAATCAAATGGAGAGACCAGCAATCATCTCTCCTCTTTTCCTGCCAGTTTCATAACCACGTTTAAAATATTTATATTTTTCCTTTAAAGATTATACATAAACGTACATTTGGAACCTAAACATGAGAGAAGATAGTTGTCTGACATATGAGGAAAGAACCAAGATGATGACTGAAGCCAAATTGGAGTGGACCTGTGATAGTCACCACAGACACATTTCAAATAATGAGGTTAGCGACACTCCAAAGATTCTGCTTTGATTTTCAAATAAATATATGTAAAGATACTTCAAAGCAAGACAATTCAAATGAAGTAGGATAATTAATGAACTGCTCTCATATTTTGGTAATTTGAACAACTGTTGAGATTTTAAATAAATGTGCAATACTTACTTCAGCTGTGCCTTCCACAATATCGTTAATGAACTGGACCAGATCTTCAGTGCTCTCTATTTGTTTATGAGGTAGGAAATATTGTTGATTGGATGTATTCAGGACAGCAATAGTGGGGATTACCAAATCACTGAAACAGTAAAACCAAACAATTCAGAAACTGAACTATAACTAGTTTCATTAATAAAGCTTTGAAGAATGATCACACTCTTACCAAAATAACTAGGAAGAGAAGGGTTTTTCAATCATATTACTTACTGCTAAATCTTTACGGAATAACACTAGGGACTGATAGGTTGGTTTAATTTATTTCTTATATAAATATAATAATTATGGCTAATTAATCATCCATTTCAAAGGCTCTAAAGTATCCACAGTTCTGTCTAGTGTTTCATTCTATTCAACATCTGCATTAGCCTGTTGGGCCAAATGAATCAGGCATTAATTATGCTACAAACTGATGGTACTGCAGTTTTGCAGTTTTAATATTTACCCAATGAATGCCACTGATGAGAAATTAAAGGCATTATAACTGAATTCAGAGAACATTAATGCAATAGTGAAAACAGTATAGAATACAAAAGACAAAAGCAGCAGTAAGCACTGATAAGGTAATCTTCCCTTTACAAGCTGTCATTACAACCTATTACTAACTAATTCAGAGATAGGTCTATGTCTTTAGTTGTCAATCACAAAAAAACCTCATGTAGCCTTCTGAAGGACATACATGATCTGATGTTGCCGCAGGTAGGCACAGTACAAACTCTATAAATACATATAAATGCCAAATCTTTTCAGCTCCTGAAAATTAGTTATTTAATACTGCCATCTAGTGGAAACATATTTAAATATTTTTAAATGTTTTTGTTATTTTTGTTTAAAGAGTTTAATTGAAAGAAACAAACAACTTTATTCTCCATCTGAAAAAAAATGGTTTTACTTACTCCATTAATAAACTATTAATATATTCATTTCCATCCATGTAGCCAAACTGGAAGTTTCTATTAAAAGGCAATTCACAATATTATCCGTTAGACTGATTTGAAATGAATAATGATCTTAACAAACAAACAAAACACATGATACCAACCAATACATTTACTGAAAGGAAAATTCAAAGAGGAAAAGGAAGGAGATTCAATCTTTAGGATAGCAGGAACAGATAAAGAAAACTGATTATCAAACACTATTTACTCAAAATACCCTATGTAATCATTGATAACAAAAACTTGGCTAAGGAAAAAAGCAACTAAGGATTTGGAAGGGAAAGAGCTGCAAATGTAGTATTTTATCCTTTCACCTATATGAAATTTTTGTTCTAAAATTTGCTTTACATGCACCTGGAAGAATCTTGGAAGCACCAGGATTTGTTCCTGAGCTTCAGAAACCAACTAGGGCAAGTAAAGCTATGGGATACCTCTAAGGCAGGGGTGTCAAACTGCCGGCCCGTGGGCCGGTTTCATCATACCGGAGCCGCGCCCACCCCATTGCTGGCAACGGCAAAAAAGCTCCAATACGTTGCGTGATGTCACGTGATGTCGCGAGTTTGACATGACTGCTGTAAGGTCTTGTTCATTTGTCTTGTAATTAATTATGAAACTAGAATGAAGCAATCTTACAGAACAATGTATTTATCACAGCTCCTTACTACATATGTACAGGAAGCAAAGGGGAACTTTTGTTTCATGCCCTTAAACAAACTACCATGTCCCAGGTCAGCACCCCTCTTTCTCTTCCACAGCTTTCTTTGCAGCATATTCCACTGGTTCACCATTTTCCTAACTTCTATTCCCTTCCTCTTCTTAATTGCTGCTGTATAAGTTTCATCTTGGCATATCCCATTGGTCCACCCATTTCCCATGCTTTCCCATCATATGCCCTTCTTCTCCTAAGCCACCAATAAACTCAACACATAATAGAGCTACTGACCCACCTATCTCTGTTTTTTATTAGGATCTTCTTTTAGTTAACACCACTAATGGCTCAACGTGGCATACCTCAATGATATATGATAGATAACGTAAGTATTGTATAACAAAGTGTTAAGATTGTTGAGCTTATTTGTAATTTATATGCTGCTGCTGTTTTATGCTCTTCATTTGTTTAATAGACTATTGCATTTTTATGTGGTATATTATTAGTTGAGCTACATTGTAAACATTATGTAAAAAAACAGAATACATTTTGTAATACCATATGTACATAATTTTAAATTGCAGAAAACTGCAAATGGTTTAAACTGCAATCCAATCCCTATTTACCTAAATGAAACCACTATATTCACTGGACATTTATTTTTTAACATTAGGATTCCCAAACTAAAATATATTACCTATTAAAAGATCACAGAATTCTGAGAAGCACAGTAAAATCTACCAGAATTGGATATATATGCATGTAACAAAGGATAGAGCTATTTATTTATTTATTTATTATTATTTAGATTTATATCCCGCCCTTCTCCTCGTAGGACTCAGGG